ACAGTTACATCACTTCTTGCAATCTCGATTTGAACTAACTTGAAAAAAGTAGGTATTCTCACAAATCCTTCTGATTATAGATGATAGTACGTACTACTACTACTTGCGCTGAATTAGAATTTCTACTTGCTTGTTCCATCATGATTATCTATCTATACGTTGTGACCTCACGACTTACGTTGACGTAGAAGTTGAAAGCTCTGCTATGACAAGATGAAGATCATTTTCATCCTCCTCGTTCTTCACTACAGCTCCTAGCAAAATGGCAAAGCACCACCTAGAAGTCCTCATCCATAGAGAAGGCGTGAGCGTCGTTACCCGCTCCCTCAGTGGTCGTTTCTGCTGCCTTCATTACTCCTGCCTTCTGGTAGTCTCCGACGCGCTTCTCGAAGAAGTTGGTCTTGCCCTGCAAGGAGATGAGCTCCATCCAGTCGAAAGGATTCTTCACGTTGAACAGCTTGTCGTATAAGATTAGATGTGTAGCTTGAAGCAGAAGAAGAGGAAGAATTGTATCCAATCTTGATGATTCTGATTTAATCACCCTGCTAGGGTCGATAATAGTCATTCATTCTTGTTTGTTACAACTAGTACGTCTACTTACAGCACTTCATACTGTTTTTAGACTAGTAGAAGAAAGAAAAATAAGTATAGCCGTAAATGCAGTGCCTGAAGCAGTCGGTCCGCCACGAACTCGATGTATTGCCCCATGAGTTTCTTGTTCATGCCGATCAAGTCGCAACTGAGGGCGTCACAGATGAACTCACGCTCGACTCCCACTGCTCCTCGCACGATCTCGTGCACAACATCCTGCGGCAAGCGGTTTTCCAACATGTTGTAGAGCAAGCACGCGAAGTCCGCATGCAAACCTTCGTCACGAGCGATGAGTTCGTTTGAGAAGGTCAAACCTGGCATCAAACCACGCTTCTTCAACGCGTATTAGCGCTCGCCGCAATCCATCTCCAGATGCATCCTGAGACTGAGTACCTTTTACCCTTGAAAACCCGAAACCCTCTTCAGGAGGCCTGTCTGTCAAGAACAAGATGGATTTGGAAGCGGAAGCCTTAACAGTAGATGGCACAGAAGGATCCGGAAAACAAAATCCCTTCTACACATGCGAATGCCACTAAGCGCATACCGAAGCAGAGGTTTCCATTCATCCAGCTGGAGGCCCACTTGGCCTTCTTCTCAATCACTGGAATAGTCGTGATCGCGTTGAACAACTTCGTCTTCTCAGCTTCGTCGTTACCTGAGTAGAGTTAGAAGGATGAAAATTTCAAGATGAAGATTGTCTGTAGATGGAAAAGTTGTCTGTAGATGGAAAAGAATCTACTTTTTGTAGCAAATCAGAACAACGAGGAAGAGCAGTAGAGAATGAACGAACCCTCTAAGTATGAGCATCTTCCAGACACATCAACTAACTATTAAGTCAAATTCAGATACAAATTGCTAGTGAAAGTAGAGTTACGGCAGTATTGATCGATCAGAAGCGAGTAGGTTTCGCTGTGGATGTTTTCCATGGCTGCCTGAAATCCGTAAAAGGCTCTCGCTTCCGGCAGCTGCACTTCGGATGCGAAGTTCAGGTTCAATTTTTCGAGCACAATGCCATCAGATCCAGCGAAGAAGGCCAAAATGTGCTTTAGGAAGTGCTGCTCGTTTGCACTCAGCTTATCCCAGTCGGTCATATCCTGAGAGAGATCAATCTCCTCTGCGGTCCAAAAAGAGGCCTCGTGCTGCTTGTACCTATTGAGTATGAGTTGTTTCTAGAGATGAATGTGCCTAAAAACGGGAGGTGGTGCATCAACGTGATGTTTATCATGACTGCTTTCAGGCATATTTGCTTGTTCTACTTGACGATGCCATAATGAAGATCAGCCTTGAAATTGTTCAAGAAGATAATTTTGAATCCTGATTTGAAATGTCTTAGTACATCTCCCAAATTTCCGGATATTTGATAGGGAACATCACCCAGCGTTGCTGGTTGTGTGCGAGCAAAAGCTCACCCTTCTCCTTCGCCTTCAAATCTGCGGACACCGACAAAGCGCGGGTGCGATCCTCGAACTTACCCAAAAGTTCCTCGCTCTCCGAATCAGAAGAGGCATCTGGCGACCCGGTAGTAGAGGAATCATCTCCAGTGGTGGTGTTGTTAGAAGGAGTTCTGGAGCAGCACGTCGATCGCGATCCACCTTGATGTAATTGTTACTAATTCATTTGAGCGAGCCCGAGCCCCCTTATTTATTAATTTGTTTCTTCTCACAAGCGAGCTACTACAAACGACAACCAGCTACGAGTACTAGGAGGCATCTACTTATCACCTGTTGATAGGAGGAGTTGTCTTAGGTAACAACTACAGCCTTAAACACATCGATCAGTTGCTTGTTGTTATTACCTACCAAAATATCATGATCATAACCTTGACCTCTGCTTCGAGGATGGTCTTACTCGCGACAATGTCCTTCTCGAGATCTACGTCGACGCCGTTCGCCACAATCTTGCCGTTGCGGATGACAGTCTTGTGAGGAATCCCCTGAACTCCATACTCCGAAGGCAACAGGTCATCGTCAATGATCACAGAGAGAAGCTCGGACTTGGGAATGTTAGAAGAGTCAGGGGTTGGCACCATCCAAACTACAGATATGATTGGACGAAGGCATTAAGACGAGGAAAAACTGCTCGTCCAAAGAACTTCTACGGATAGAAAAGCAATGTACGATGACCTTAGCTACACCTATACCTAGAGCTGTTGTCATGAGCTGCTGTAGTCATTAAAAAACGATTCCTCATATTGTTCAAGCATCATAACATTCTTGTCGCTTTCGAAAGTGCTTTTGATCCCATGTTCCTCGCAAAATTCCACAGCGCCTTCAAGATCGTTCTCCAGGTTCACCAAGACGAAAACGGCCTTCTTGATGGTGTCCTCTGTAGCAGGGAAGTTCTCAGCCAAGCGTTGCATCTCCTTAGCAGCCTCCGGACATTTTTTGCACCAAGTGGTGTAAAAATCGAGGACCACCACGTCGTACTCGGAAGTCAGCTGAGTCAGAGACATGCTGCGGGAGGTAGACACCTCTACCATACCCGGAATCTCCAGTGCCAAAGCGCCCTTGCACAACATCTTGTCTGTTGTTGTTCGTTGT